CACAGGGTGAAACTGTACGTGTACGGCGTGTGGATAGATTCGTGACTCGGTCCAGGGGGTGATCGCGGTGCTGGAGTAGTTGCGTTCGCCGGCATTTTGGCTGTTCCGCAGGAATGCCGAAATGTTCCTACGTGTTGCGCGTGTTTAGAGGGGGCGGGCACCGGGCCCGGTGCTGCGGTGGCCCGCAGTAACGGGGTGGCCTGACGTCGCATCTCTATTAATTATACACATAATTACAGCCGCCACCCGCTGCGAGGCCCTGCTCGCCATCGCCATCGCCGTCGCCATCGTCCAACGAATTTCCAACGCGACCAGGCATAGGTGATTCAACAGAGGGGTGGAATTTATCAGGTAGCCCAGGTTAACTGCTACGACCTGGGGAGACCGTTTCGACGAACGATCTCTCCGAGTTCACGCGGAAGACGAACGATTCAGCCGCATCTCCCTTAAGCCGATTAAATCGAGTGATTACCGCGGGAACAGCATGTAAAGCGATTATGGCCAAGTCATGAACGCGCCAAGGACGATATTAACTTCCCGACAGAGCGTCAAAGAACACTCCGTATCGAATGAAGCTCGATCGAACGCTCAACGAAATTTTTATCATTATCAGAATACTATTGTCGTATAGCAGGGCTTACTGGTTATTATCGAGTCCGGGGGGGAAACAGCTGGAGAGATTGCGATTAAGCGTAGAACGTATCCCTAAAGTAGACCAGCTTAAAATATCATAACGCCCAGGAATTCCGAGAGAAGGGCTTGTCACGGACACCCGGCTATAAAATGCATGATATTCTGCTTATACTTGCTTTCCCAGCGAAAGCATTTCTGACAGAATTTGGTGGAAACTTTCTCGTGTAATTCGGAATTTAAAAGAACGAAGGAATTATTGGATTTTAATCAGAGACCAGTACGATGAAATATAATTAAGATGTGGCAACTAACTTCTCGAGAAAGAATGAAAATTGCGCTGTGTCAGAGTCTTCCGTGAACAGAGATCAATCACACCGGTAACCTATACGACAACATTTGTTTGAAGACGACGAAATCGAGCAAATATTGCCAAAGCCAACACACGGTGAAATAACAAAATTTCGATACATAATCCCCCGGTAGCATTTTCCTACGAAACGTAGATAGAAACGAAATTTAACTCGACAAATATGAACAGGGAAATTCACTTGATTAAACACGAAGTACACCTCGTTATGTTAACGTTGTACAACCGGTCCCCGAGTAACAAACGTGTTCTCTGTGAGTTTTGTGGTGAATTGAATCTGACACCGATTGAATTTGATCATCGTGCTCCTGGGCCATCTGCATACGCGAAAAGAAGAGCCTCAAAACGACATTCCATCCGAAAAGATTGTATTTTAAAAGTAATCGATTTCAGAAATTACTTCTGGAGATTACCTAGAGACATTTGTCGTTTCAAAGTTCAGTAATTCGCGAGATAAAGGTGAACGTGTTCGAGAAGGTAGACGTGCCTCGAGGAGGAGTGACTTTCATAGATTATTCGGCTGGTACAAATTTCATAAGTATCCGGTCGATTCGCGGCAGGGTTACATAGATCCGCGAACGTGTTCGGGTGCAACGGATTTTATGGGCTGTACGCCAGTCCCGAAGCTTTAACCTCCAGGTTATAGGAGCTTAAATTCAGCCAGCAACGCCTAAAAGTACCTTCGAGCGGGATGCTCGGGATTCGCTTTACGGTTCCGCAGGAAACACCTTTCTTCTTTCTCTTTGGAAGAACTACTCCTGGTAACTGTTCCCCGAGGTACCTACAGCGTGTTGCTAAATGGGCACATGATATTATTTTTCTCCTCGAGATCCTGTGGACAGAACACGTACAAAGAAACGCTTCTACGATGCTCTACGAATGCCTCTACGATGTCATATTCATACTCTTTGGCTTCAAATCGAACTAAGACAGTTCACGATTTGCTACATTAGAAATTTTGGTCTCGATACGGTCGAATACAATGGTAGATTATTGTGCCTTCGTAGTCGAAACAATCAGTATCCATTACAACCGGGATTCCAGTATCTGTGGAAAGACGAAGGATCAATTCTACGTTCGCCAAAGTTCTGCTGACACGGCGCAATCCAAACTTGATTAAACTGCTATCGACGGTGCTCTCATTCGACCCTTTCGCCGAGAATACAAGGAGAAAAATCTTTAGCGCTTTTAACAGCAATTGTTCTATACTTCATTATTGTAATTTCGAGTCACATAAATCAATGGACGCTAGTTAGATACTGGTTGACCAACTTGGTTGTTAGTCGCTGAAAGAGGATTCCAGCCTCTCTGGGTGGCCCTTTAGAACCTTGGCCATCCGATCCCGCCATTACTCCGGTTGCTTCCTACAACGTGTTCCCCGGTGTCCTGGCTGTCCTTTTTTCGAGTTTCCCGGAATTCAGGGGATCAACGCGATTACGAGAATTAAGTGATTTCGAGATAAACCGGGGTCGATGTCTTCCAAGCACGCCATTAGCAGTTACGATGAATTCAATTCGACGCAAAATTGGAGTTCGGGCTCTTGGGATTCGGAATTGTTGCGATGTTACGGGCTACTTCCGCGCTCGGATAGCGCGTAACTTCGTTAACGCGGTAATCACTCAGCGTTGCCAACGACCAACGGAAACAAGATCGATGCCGTTCCTTTCGCTACGAGTTCTTGCCCCGTAAAACCCTCGATTGCGAATAAATCTCTAGGAAATTCGATATTCTAAGAACAGGTTCGAGAAAACTTGAAACTGACGGAACAGAGAATCGGCGTACGGTATGTGAGACGGTCTTCTGGCGGGAATGCGTAATAATTTGGCGGATTATTTAAGGCGACGGTTGATTCTGACAGCGATGGGGATCAGCTGGCAGCAAAGTGGCGAGCGTATTAATTTTGCGGGCAGAGCAGAACATGAGATATTTCCGAAGACGTTTCACGTTCTGCTGGCGCGCGCGCACTGCGTACACAGTTGCCTATTAATATCTAAGACTATTTAATCTAGAGGCTGCGTGATCAAGCGAGCCACGGCGTTAATCATAGAGGAATTGTCTCCTCTTCTGGTCCATCGTTCAGAAGCATGCTTTTCTTCCCGACGCGGTTTTCCAGGCGCCTCGAATACGCCCAGGACGAGAGAAATCGCAAGTTATTTCCTGGAGGAAGTTTCGCGTTTGAACGATCTTTCTGCCCTGTTCCTTTCAAACTTTGTTCGATTCTCATTGTATCGCGACAACTCGAAGATCTCAACGAAATGGCGAAGAGCCTGATAAATATTTCTAATTTCTACTCGTGCTTGGCGCGGCGAACATGTTAACGTCGTGGCCCTCCGTAAATATTGATTAAAATGAATATGACCCGTCTGTACATGAAATTAATGCTTCTGCGTTTTCGCAATTGATACACAAAAAGTGTACGGAAGAACGGATACGAAACGACCGGCATTTCCCATACGTTCCCATGAAACCATGAACCATAAATGGCGTTCGTATAATCGAGGAAAAGCCGGTCGACTCGTGGGATAGAAACGTACTCTACGACTAGAATCGAATAACCCTTTCAAGAGCATGTATATATACATATCTATTTTATATGTATAAATATGTACAGAAACGAAAAATGTAAATATACATAGGTAAGTACATACTAAATAAAGTACTGTGTGTTGTTTGCACCGGAAATAAACGCATGCACTTCTCCGTATAAATATATAATATATTGTATTGACGCGTATATTATATATTTATACGCGCAATGTACGTGTGTACTTGTGTAATATATACGTTTTAAGATGCGAAGCAATACTGGGATAGTGTTTACGTACCCTTGGAGATTAAAATATATTACTTGCAATCGGGAGAAAACGTCATTGTGAAAAATAAAAGGAACGTATAGAAATCGATTTATGCATCGACGACATATCGTGTAGCCGCCGTGGGGGTCTCTGAAACATTCTCAAAATTTTATATTCCTCTCCTCAAGGCTTTCACCGGAAGTTCGTACCTCGATTCTTTAATTATCCGGTGTTTTACCTTTGCACGTTCTTTTTTGGCACGTTTTATCGCGACTCGCGCGTTTCGTTCGTCCCCGAAAAGGAAAAACGCGACTCGAGGACGAAACTGGACGCTTCCCCGCGCAACTTCCGCCGCTAGGAATCGGAACTAATTCGGATAACGGCTGTCCGGTGAAATATTGATGACCCGAATTCGAGAACGTGCTTTAAAGTTCGACAGCTTAACTATCCGCGGCGTGGCGATGCAACCCGGTGTAATTGCAACACGAATGCATCGGATTACGCGAATGCGTTGCGTGTACCACGAATTAGCTCGATTTTGCTATTCCCGGATTCCTCGGGAGCAAAAACATCCTGGACGAAATTCGAGCTCGTCAAATATTCTCGTTCCCGGTTCGACGAACATGTAAACCATCGCCCTGCGTTACAATTTTAATCGTACTGAATATCACGTTGCACATCAATCCAATTCTAACTTCTAAACAAATTTTTTCCCGTCAAATCAGAGTAATTCGTGGTACACTGTTAATAACAGCGAATCGATATTTAGAACGGTTAAAAACAGAATTACTTCCGTCGGTGTTTTCGGTTTCGAGAATTTTATGATTCCTTCACGATTTTCATAGTGAAATTTTACGTCCCTTCGTCAAAGTTCGCCGCACGGTTTATTGGAATTCCGTTTAAGAACGTTTTAAACTACGCGCCAGAATTTCCTTCGAGTTTCATCGAAAAACAAGGCAGCCGTTAAGCTGGAAATTTTTACGCGATATACTTTTATCTCGAGTACATTTTCCGGTTGTTTATCGAAATAAATTCGGTTGTTGATCTAACGTTTCCTCGCGAAACTGAATCCCGTCACTGTTTTAACGCGAAATGATTCACCCGGATTTTAAACAGACTTTTTAATCGGTCGCTGTGTTAATTAGATTTATCGATTCATCGAACGGAACCAAATTCCTTATGTAAATGTAACAAGATTGAATTACCTGTTGTACATGAGAATGTCTGGCTTCCAAAGCTTGTTCGGTGTAATTCGGAGGTCCTTTACGCCCCCGTATTCGGACTCGTTCCACTGGAGATTATAGTCCGTCCATTCCTAGAAAATTAAAGAAAACTCTCATACTCTACGACAACGATAGCGTAACATTTAAATCCTGTAACAATTAATTCGACGCGAACCATGAAAAGTTGACGTTCGTTATTAATTTTCCAAGAATAATGAAATCGCGGAATATCACGGGAAGTTCGCTCGAAGATAAAATTAGCGAAATTAATTAATCCTCATTAGACGGAAAATTAATTACTCAATGGGATTTCTTTTCTTCGTACTGTTAGCGGGAACGATGCAGCTAGAAACTAATTCGAGAGTAATCGACCGATGGTTCTGGTAGAATCAGAGAGAGTCTCGCGAAATTTCCTAGCATGCTCGTCTGAAACGACGTCAAATCCTTTTTGGTTCCTTTGTTTCCATCGCTCGAACATGGCGTGCAAACGGTAAGAGTTAAGCAATCCACAAAGCATGAATTTCGAGAAGATAAATCCGCCGGGAGGGCGAGAACAACGGAAATCTACGCTGATAAATTTCGGTGTAATACGAGCGTGATGATTCAAAGTGTTCAACCCAAAAGTATCAAAGAAACGAAAGTGTAAAAATACTGAAACTTTAGACACGCGTAGTTCCGAAACTACTAGGGCTTTATTCAAAATTCCAGTACTGTTGGAAGCGGTAAACCTTCCCCATTAAGATTGGTTTTTGGTTTTTGTCGATCCGACTTTCCGTTTTCGAGATATCTTAATTTATGTAAAAGGTAATTTTTCTTAATTCGACTACCTCCTCACTGTCCGGCTTGCGTATAATGGCCTATTCACGCGTATTAAAAATAGTAAAACTTTAGACGCGTGTAGTTCCGAAACTACTAGGGCTTTATTCAAAATTCAACCGCCGTTAGAAGGGGTAAACCTTCCTCTTTGAAATTGCTTTTTGGTTTTTGTCGATCCGACTTTCCGTTTTCGAGATATCGTAATTTATGTAAAGGGTTAATTTTTCCCAATTTGACTATCTCTGTCTTTGTCTGACGCGTCACGCTGGACCTCTCTCTCTCGCGCACGTGACTGGTGACCGAGTGGTCGCGTGACCTAGTTACTACGAGTCACGTGCGGTCAACGACCTTGACAAGGCCGTAGTAAGAAAGTTCATTGATCTCGCAGATGTAAACAAAGGCTTCGGTCTCATCCGATCGACTTGAAATTAAAATCCTCATATCTCCGGAACTAATTAAGCTATCCACTCTCACGAGCGCTCATTTTAAAGGGCATTTAACCCCCTTTCCAACCACACTCGCGTCGACAAAGATTTTTAGATACTTCAACCCGATTTTTAGCGGAAAGTATTAACTTTTGAACCTATGTTGAATGAACATTTTTTATTCATGTACCTAGTAATTAAAGGTTCGAACAGAGACTCTGTAATTCCCCGCCTAGGAATTTCCAATTAACGGTAGAATTTTAATACTCTTAGTTGCGAATTTTCAAGCAAGAATGTTGGAACTTTGAGTCACTTTGTGGCTATCTTGAAACTAAAATAGGCTCGAGAATCTTGAAAGTGTTGAGGCTCGTAGGAATCTCGAGCGTCGAAAACTTTTAACACAATTCGCTGTTATTGAAAATTGAAAAAGTTTCGTAGTTTTGGTGGCTCTAATTGTCAAAAAATTTATATTTCTTTCGCCTACGAGGGATTAAAGAGCCATTTGAAGTCGAGCAAGAATCGTAAATGGTAGCAAACTACGTTCCACCGTTTCCAAATTAGACAAAAGGGTATCGCGATTAAGATTCACGTCAGATTCCCGTGAAATTACAGGCAGAGCGTTGCTAACAGAGACGTTAGAAAGAGCCGCGGTCGGTAGCTGTGTATATTTAAATGCAGTGACTTTCGAGGAATTCGCGACCTGGTTTTATGACGGTGGTGTGGAAACTGCATAGAAAACGCGGCGTTTTATAATGTATACTTCAATTTCCGGGTCTGGATGGCGAGTCTCGGGCGTTTGCTCATTAGATTACGCGGCTGAATTGCACAAACGAGGAATTCAGAGGGTGAAAGTTCGCCTTCCGTTCCATGAGCCAGAGACGCATCGTGTCTGCTTCAAGATTTTCAAGTTCCTTTCCCCGGCGATACGACGCGAACCGGCTTCCTGTGACTCGCCCCCGCCATGGAAACGAGGCGTAACGAACGCTCTTTCGGCGTTCCCTCTGAAATAAAATTTCGTCCCAACGGTTCACCGAGTGGTTTCTATTTGCTGCTGGTTGAAACACCCGCGAGGTGTGCCGCATTTTCGGAAATTAAACGATCGCCTTTTTCACCGCTAAGAAGCCATTCAGGGACTTGGACGTTTCGCGTTGCATTCGAGAGAACAGTTTCCTTCTCTTCGCGTGGGAATATTCACCCTTGCCTCTCAAGGTTAAAGCTACGGACCAGCTACACCCATTTAAATAAATTGTCTTTTGTACGTGTATCGTTAAAGGGAAACAAAGTTCAAAAAGGAAGATAGACATTGCCAGTCTGCGAAGGATAAGACTATAATTATGCTTCGTCGAGCGCGTGATGCAGCCTAATTCGTTGGAAGCTAGTTCACGTTTTTAACAATCAAATATTAGTATTAACGGATGAGTATTTATCGAACCATGCGATGTAGCTTGATGATCAGCTTAATACAATAAATATTCTAATACATTGGTGGAAATTGGAAGAGATTAATCGATCTGTTATACTGAATTTATCTTGCAATAATGTTTCTAACTTTTATACTACGAAAGTATTGATTGGAACATGGAAGAAATATCCTCGAAGGAATTGCGGGTCGTATTGGGTCAAACATTTTAACGCCTACGACTAGCAGAAATTACTGGCCCGCTGTCCACATTCCCCTAACTCGTGGTGCCACATTCTTCAACTCGGAACTTTTCCCACGAGAGCCATATATTACCTAAAAAAATCCTGGCGACCCCGATGCGACGAACAAATCGTTAATTAATATATGGCTGATATATAATTAAAAAAAGAACATTTTTAAACAGTCAAAGTTTAATTCTTGACTATAGGTTCCGATGGGAAATTATAGAAACGAGTATTTGCAGAAATATGTTCTTTAATTCGTTTCTGAAGTAAAGAAAATATTTACTCGCTTCACCTGGGAGGCTATATTTCGTATTCCCAACCTCCCTGTTATTACTTCCATCGACTACTAGTTTCTGTAAAGTCTGTAGAATGTTTCGAGAGAGGAAGAATTTTGAAACAAAAATAAAATTCACGCTGCCAGCTTCTCGATATTTTTCTTCGAAACCGGTACGACTTTGTGCTGGTCGAAATAAAATTTCTCGAAAATAATAATGAAGAAAACGTGAATTATTCAAAGTGGGAGAGTGCAGTTTCATTTTAAAAACATTCCAACGAATTTATGAATCGACTGGTGAACGAAATAACAGAGGCTATGCATTTTCTAATAGATTTCTGGAATGGAGTTTGCTTCCAGGGTAGCAAAAAGGTGTGTATATGTAAATTGGATCAGTCTCTTGGAAATGGGCATCGTTCGATCTGCGATGGATCGCCGCATCCATCTTCGGATGACCACAATAGTGGACGTATGCACTTGACTGGCTCTCTCGCGTGCATTAATGCAACGCATGCCGTTGGTTAAGTCCGAGGGTGGACGGCGATCTTCCAAAACCACAACCCTGATCTAGGCGTCATCGCGATCATACTAATCGTAGAGACTGATCGAACCGTGGACCTGATCTTTCGATGGAAATCTAATTCTAGGGATTCCAGAGAACCAATAGTAGAATATTACGGGCTTTGATGTTGACAATAGTGGCGATAGGTTGACGGACAAACCGCGGTCACCGTTATCCCCTATTTCTTGGTAAATTCTAGCACGACTCTGGTTCGTTCAAGATTAATCATTTCTAAGAGAGAATTTATACTGTACACGTGTTTATTGTAATTTAAAAGGGAAAAGAGCACAAATGAGGCCATAGTATCGCGAGACCTTTTGTCCTGGAATTTCTGGAAGTCAAATAATAGGTGAACTGTCCAATCCCGAGGTCCCAGTGGCGTATAGCTGTCCAAGAATTCCAAGTTACAACGGTCTGCAAGGGAATGAAACTAAAACCAAGACACGAGAATCTTCGAAGCCCTAAATTGTTTAATTTGCTCGCATATTTTGATACAAGACCGCTTTAAACTGTCTATTTAATAAATCTGACAACGCAGGCTTGTTTTCGGGCAGGTTTCGCGAAGCAACTGATATTCCACCCACTCTGAATAATTCCAGAGTTGGTTTACGCTTCCGGTAGACGATAATATGTCTGAAATTCGCGCACGCTAATAATATTAATACACCGAAACGTTCACGAACGTTGCTACTTAAATTAAATCGGTAAAAATCTCTTCGACGCCTTCGTAAACAGCTACAGCTTCCAAATGAGCGAACGAAAAATTATTCGCGGAGCAAAAGCGTATCGATCCGCTAAAGGGGAGGGTTCCAAAGCAAGCGCGAATACGAAAACTTTCTACCCCCGGCGTTGGGAAAACAAAATCAACGGAAACAAGTGTATCCACTTTTCTCATTTTCGCGCGAACGACATCGAATATAATTTTCTTCGTTAAACGGAATTTAAATATCGCGAAATGATCGTTCTTTAATCTTTCTTCGGGAATCGTTCGTTTCTCTCTGAAACTTTATTTCAACAAACTAACGCGAACCTGTTTCGAATTTTAAATTAAACTTGGTCCGAAACGAGACACCTTCGCGTACATTTTGTCGTGTTATCGTAGACGAATGGTAAGTTTCATAATATGTTTAGCTTTTGGATAGCGGATCTGGGTCGTTCTTGACACGAGAGGAGAAATTAGGTCGTTCCATATGCCAAATCGAACACTATTGCGAGTGTAAATTTGGGTTTGAAATTTGTATATGATAACGTTGTTTAAGACTAAGATGAAATTTGGAGTGTATCCTTATGGAAACAGAGTTGATTAACGTTGTACAAATATTACCCAGTTTGGAAAGAGCAATAGTTGCTATATTTGGTTAGGTTCAT